TCTAGTGTAGTTTCAATTGGTTTTGACTATTCACTATAGAATGGTTCCAGTCTCCTTTTTGTTACCTTTTGTTGAAACCGTTTATAGTTCATTGAGATTCCTTTCATTCTACTTTTGATCTTCCTCAGTACCAGTGAGATGTTGGGGGTGATGCAGCAGAGGCACTAATAGGAATCAGTCTGGCTCTTCTTTTTTGGTTCGAATCTATTATGCCTGTAATGCCCGAGTTCCTTGAACCCGAATTGCCACGTCATCTTTATTTGTAACTGAATTAACTAAAAAGATTTGCGAAACATAACTAAATTTTAAACATCACATTTATAACGGTAAAACATCGTCGGCAACAAAACTCATTTGATTAACCTAAAAATTTTGATTAAACTTTAAATTTCGAGTTTTTGAAATAATTGAAATGACAAAGTACGTTAATAATATTCAAATACATAATTTTTCAAATGTAAATAACTTCATCCATTTAAATTGTTGTCACCACTGCCCATCAAACCTGACCGTCTCCAAAATCTGCAAATGTCGTTAAAATAATGGAATGAGTATTTCGAAAAAATACTCAATAGACTCATCGTCGATAATTAATTTATAGAATAATTAAACACATAATTATGCAATATATATACCATGACATCATCATCATCATTGGCTCATTTTCTTGAAAATGATAGGCTCTTTGAAATCATAGGGTGTAGGTAGTTTCATCTCATACATTTAAGCATATAAGTTATGCATAACATTCTCATCTTATCTCATAAGAGATACTCGTCGCTTCTCATGCATTAAAGCATATAAGTTATGACAAGCATAACAACATCATATATCTCATATGACATATTCTCATCTCATGCATTAAAGCATATAAATCATGTAAATCCACATAATACATGCAATTATAATTTAAACTAATTAATGGTGGCGAGTCTACCTCAAATTATCTCGAGTCTCGTAAAAAGTGGAGCGGGACGTAACCTCAATCTCCTAATTGTCCATACGTTTCGTCTAGCCAAAATAGAAAATAGGTTTTAAATTAGTATTCTGAAATTTAAAGTTTTAAAGCGATAAAATAAAGTTTAGAGACCTAATTGGATATTTATTAAAACTGAATTTGACAAGTTTAAGGCCTGAAAATAATATTTTCAAAGTAATGGGGCTAAATGTGGGAAATAAGAACTCCAGTGACTGATTTACTAATTATTGAAACTTTGGAGGACTTAAAATAATGTAAATAAAGTTTAGGGGCTAAATTGGAAATTATTGAAACTGCAAATAAGAATTTAAGGACTGAAATTAAACTTTTCTAAAATAATGGGCTAACTGCTGAAAACAGGAACTCCAGGGGCTGTTCTATTAAAAACGAAACTCTAGGGACTGAATTGAATACTTTTAAAACTTTGGGGCTTAGGGCTAAATTTCCAAAATCAAAATATAACAAAAATCATTTCTTACTCCCTTTCTCTCTCATTTTGACAGAGAGAAGGGAGAAGAGGGGGCCATCGACGGTAATAATCGTCGGCCAGTAGGCCGGCGTCGGCGCCACCGTCGCGTGGTGGCGCCGGTGCTTCGTGGGAGGCTGTGGGGTTTTGGTGCACGAATTGGGAGTTAACTGAGGCTTGGAGGTTCGAACTCCTAGTGGAAATCAAGCTAAAAAGATTGGGGTATGAGGTAAGTTCTTGGTCCTCTTGTTTCTTGTTTCTTGTTTCTTAGAGCTGTTTGAGGTGGAATTTGGGTGAAATAGGGCTGTCGATTTTTTGATGAAATAGGGGCTGTTCGGTGTCGGGGTTATAGTTGGCGTTGCTGGTGGTTGTC